CCAAAACAAAACTTTTTGACTTTTCGGCTTTTCGGGCAATTTTTGCGTTTCTCCGCCTAAATCCGTCCACAGCCCTTCGCAACCACAGCTTTTGGGTACCCTAAATATTAGGTGCCGTATTATAAAGGGATCCAAAAAGGGACCATAATTTTGACAACCACCCAGATATCCCTCACAAGCTGCATGGATCGGCTCTGACAGTATTGCACTTCAAGCAACATGGAAGCTGGTCGTTCCCACGAAGCCTCAGCCCTGAACCTTTAAACCCGACTTCCTAAACCCTGAACCCTAAACCCTGACTCTAAACCCTAAACCCTAAACCCTAAACTCTAAACCCTAAACCCTAAACCCCTGAACCGAATTTTAGTTCCGGGCAGGGATGCCAGGGTCCTTGCCCCAGGTTCCCTGTCATCGTGCTGCCGGCAGAGAAGCCAACAAACTTACCCAGCTTCATTGTGGTGTAGTTCAACTGTCCCACAGCTTCCTGGACATGGTATAGGGTTTAGGGTTTAGGGTTTAGGGTTGGGGGGTTTGGGTTTAGGGTTTAGTGTTCAGGGTTTGGGGTTTAGGGTTCAGGATATCTGGATGGTTGTCAAAATTATGGTCCCTTTTTGGGTCCCTATTATAGTACGGCACCTAATATTTAGGGTACCCAAAGTTTGGGTTTATGGTTGTGGTGGAGTTCAACTGTCCCACAGCTTCCTGGACACGGGGGTTTAGGGATTGGGGTTTATGGTATACGGGGTTTTGGGGGGATAAAGATCCTAAGGATTCTCCGGGGGACGGTGTGCAGACTATTTTGAGCTCATGTGTCTGTGAAGAACTTTTCATTTCTCAGGTCCGTCTCCTGCAAAGACTACAACCACCTGCATAAGAACCCAAAAACCTTTTCCAGGCGCTAGCTTCAGGCCCCAGCCCCTGAAACCCTAAACCCTACAATATATAACCCCAATATAACCCCATTATACCCCCAATATAACCCCATTTATAAAACCCCAATATAACCCCAGTATAACCCCAATATAGCCCCATTATAACCCCATTATAACCCCAATATAGTCCATATAACCCCAATATAACCCCTTATATAACCCCGTATACAACCCCATTATATCCCTACTTAAAAAAAAAAAATCCACTCCTGCCAGGGCATATGACGAGGGCCAATGTCAGCCACGTTGGTTACCTGGCTTAGTATTTGGGGGTTTCCCAAATTAGGGTGTACCTTTAAAGGGGGATGTAGGGGTTATATAGGGGTATATAGGGATTTATAGGGTTTAGGGTTTCCCGAACTTAGGGGTACCATTTTGGGGGTCCCAATAATTAGGACTATAGTATTTTGGGGTCTATATTGGGGTAGATGCAAAAGCTCGGGCCTTTGCGTGCTTAATTCCATTCCTTGGGTACTGCCCACACCCAGGAACAACAGTTCACGAGGACCATGGGCTGTGAACACTCATACGCTACAATCGTTTCCAACTGTTGCTGGGTGGGGGAGGGGCAGTTATCCAAATCATGGTTTAGGGTTTAGGGTTTAGGGTTTAAGGTTTAGGGTCCAAATCATCCCCCTGATCGCCCTAATCGTATCAGAGGAAAGGGGGAAAGCCTAAGCTGATAGCTTCACACTTTACACGTGGTCGTTGATGGCCTCATATTGAGAACTTCTCATAGGAGAGATGGTGTTAATTATCCCTTTGTCGGACTATCTAAGGATGACATTCACAAGCTCCTATTGCAAGGGTATTTGCAAGAACTTCTTTTGAATCTGAAATAACATATCTCTGCTTTGGGACAAATGCACATAGAGCTGTTTCCTTTCAGGGGGAGGAGAGCCCCAAGTGAATCTTTAGTGTTCCCTTCTCTACTACTCCCTGGTTCTCTCCCATGCTCTTTGCGGCTTTCTAAGGCTACCCTGAACCCTGAACAACTCCAGCGGGTTAACGGTTTAGGCCCCCTGAACCCTGAACCTGGAACCCCTAAACCTCTTTCGAACCAAGACTCTGTGATCACCAAACCCGCAGCCTTCGACCATCAACCCTTAAAGCCCTGAATGAATCAGGCCGCGACCCCTTCCTGGGCTAAAAAGGGTTGAGGGGTTATGGACCATGATCCCTTTAAGTTCCCTGTAAAGCCGATAAAAATGTAAATCTAGGGGCTTAAGGAGGGACCCTTAATGGGGACCCTTGTAGCTTATTGCGCATAATAATGGTACTACCTGGGATTAGGGGTCAATTCTAGGGGTCCCTCCTAAAGTCCCCTGAGTAGAGCCTCCAGGACACAAACCCTAAACCCTAAACCCTAAACCCCAAACCATCGGCCTCGGACTTCTGAGCTTCTGCTTGTCCAGCCTCCGCCTGTGCTGCATACTCTTTGGCCTGGGCTTCGGGTTTAAGGTTTAGGGTTATATAGGGGTTTGTATAGGGCTATATAGGGCTTAGGGTTTAGGGTTATATTGGGGTTTTTTTAGGGCTAAATAGGGCTTAGGGGTTTAGGGCTTAGGGTTTAGGATGGTTTAGGGTTTAAGATTTAGGTTTAGGAGGCGCGTTGCACGGGTTTAGGGAGTTTGGGCTTCAGGGCTGCGTGGAGTTGGGAAGAATACAAATATCTAAAAGCAGGCACCTATGGGACGATGCTCTGTGTGGCTTGGGTTGACCCTAAACCCTAAACCCTAAACCCTAGACCCTAAACCCGAGGGCTTGTGGGTGGAGGGGTTTAGGGTTCTGGGGTTTAAGGCTCAGGGTTTAGGTTCAGGCTTCTTTAGGGTCGGTATTTAAGGTGTAGCGTTGGGATTCAGGTAATTTTCCAAAATAATCAAGCCCCTGTACTCTAGAGACCCCAGAAACTTTAATCCTCATTATGGGGACCCCCCAGAAAAGTACCCCCTAATTTTGGGAAACCTTAACCCATTTAGGGGATAAAAGCCCCAGTTGCCAGATGGGTCTCTCCCAAAGCCGCCTCACCTTCCAACAGGGCTGTCTTGTTCGGGGCCCTTTACAACAGATTGCGGAACAGTAAAAATAGTAAGAATAATGTGATAATACTAGCAATAATGAATTCAGGGAAGGGACTGACTGCCATTGGATCAGACTGCAAACAACAGAGGTTCGATACCTAGTTCCTGTAAACCCTAGGCCCGGCCCCAAGTAATAGTAATTTCCCTAAATAATAGGGGGGCCCCAATTTGGATCCCAAAATACTGCAATCCTTATTATGGGGACCCCCAAAATGGTTTCCCTAAGTTTAGGAAACTCCAAACCCTCAACCCTAATCCCTAAGCCCCATATAGCCTCTACATAAATCCCTACCGTACATAATAGGAAATCCCACCCAACAAAAAATCCAGCCTTCGAATCCCAGCTCATGTCGGCGCGATGCATGCGCCAGCGAGGCTGCCCGTGGGTCTCTCTCAACTGCAGCTTGCACTATGTCCATATCTGCCTCACTGGAGGAATGGAACCAGGGTTTAGGGTTTAGGGGTTTAGGGTTTGTAGTTATCCACATCTGCCTTGCTGGTGGTAATGTAAACCCATGACTAAAAAAAAGCCCTTTCAAGGCCTGAATAGTACGATCCCTATCATCATCCCTGCTAAGGGGAGGGGGTTCATTAATCAGAGGTCGACATATTTCGGAGGAATGGAACCCTAGAGCAGTCCCTATATCATCCCTTGCAGAGGTCCAAAGCGCCCCAAAACCATTCTCCCTTATTCCCTGCTGACCGCCCGTTAGCCGCCTGGAACTTGGAGGGAAGGAACTTTAGGACAGAGCCATTTCTCTTGGCAGCTTCCATGGCAAACTCTTTGTCATTCTGCAGCTCTTCTGCTGCAAACTTCACGGAGGCTGCATCGTGTACTGCCATCTCAAGGACCAAAGTCCTGTCTGACTTTAGGTCCTCCTTGGCTCCCTGGAGGCACAAGCCACTCCCTCCCTTTGCAGCCTCGATGAGGAAGGTCTTATCGCTACGCAAAGAGTCCGACGCGTGTGCTAGGGCTGCACCGTGGCTGGCAATAGCCTCCAACACGAATCTTCTGTTTCCCTGTAGCTCAGGGGCTGCATGAGCGAAGGCAGTGCCAAAGAAAGATGTTGCCATAAGAACGAGATTCTCGTCCGCCCGCAACTCCACAGAGGCATACTGCAAAGCACGGCCTTGGCTAGAGAGAATCGCCTCCTGCACAAGCTCACGATCATTGGTGATCTCGTATGGGGCATCTGCCAGCAGCCGCCAGTCCTTCTTTACGCCAGCAGTCCACATCCCATAACGCCAGCTCTTAGGATTCAGCTGGGACTGTGCCGTCGGCACTTCTTCCTCGCCATTCCTAATGCTTTCCAATTGGGTCCTGGCTACTGCCATGCCGCTGTGGAAGACACTCGCTGCAGCTAGTTGCGAAAGATCGACGTCCACTTCCTCCCCTGTCTGCTTCTGCAGGGCGGTGTAGGTTCGACGAAGCTCCGCCTCTTCCTGCGCGGGCAAGTCATTGATCATCTTGTACTCCCTTCCTTGGATGGCCTTTAGCGCTGCTTGCAAAATCTTAGTACATAGAACCCCTATGACAAAAATGGCAGTTTCCATGTATAGAGGGACCCCAGTACAGACCCCAAAGTACTATTTTCTGTGCTAGAATCCGTCTAAACCCTACGACAGGGACCCCAAAAAGGGGACTCCTGTTCAGGAGATCCCTAAACCCTGAACCCTCAACAAGTAACTTACATCAACTTATGGTTCAGGGTTTATAGTCCCCCTTAAGTAGATAGAATATGGCTTTGGGTATATTACATTAAGATCCCCATATACCCCATATTCTATCTACTTACGGGGGACTATAGGGGCTTTGAATTTCTTAATACCCTAAACCCTAAACCCCTAAACCCTAAACCCTAAACCTTAATACCTCCCAAGCCAACCCAAGCTTCTCAGCTTGTCGGCGCTCTTGTTGTTTGTCATACACGCCAGCTTCGCGTTGATCAGGAAGTCGAGGCTCGGAATGCCCAGGGTTGTGGCAGCAAAGCCTATCTCAAACCTCAGTCGGGTGTAGGGGTTTAGGGGTTTAGGGGTTTAGGGGCTTTAGGGGTTTAGGGTTGAGGGTTTAGGGGTTTAGGGTTTAGGGCTTAGGGTATCTCAAACCTCAGCAGCTGACTGTAGGATGCCTCCCAAGGGTTGAAGTTATAGCCACCCTACTACTCCGAGAGTAAACGGAACCCCCAAAATCCTAAGAAGCAATCTCTTTTTAGGGTTTAGGGTTCAGGGTTTAGGGTTTAGGGTTTAGGGTTGCAAGGCTGAAGGCAGCCCAGAAACAAGGTCTCAAAGTCAACATTCACGAAGCTGGCATCCCATCGAGATGCTCCACAGTCCCGCAAGTCGTTGCTAGGAAGTGGAGTGACGATCTCGCTAACACTGTGCTCCCTGTGGTGTCTCAAATATTCACAAATCTTTGACATTGTCGTCTTTTTCAAATCGAACTTGAGGACGTGGTCACATCCATTCTCTGTCCTGGGTCTCCACACAGCACTCACAAGCTCTGATCCGCTGTTCTTAACCTTTGCATTGATTCCATGGTCCACTAACCTATGGAATCCTTGGCAGGCACACTTATTATGATACCTTTGAAGCCCCATTTGAGCTAGAGTCTAAACATCCATGTAGAATTCCCTATATAACCCCCTTTAAGGAGCCTAGACCAATGCTCATATATCCTTGGGGTCCCTAAGGGCTCTCCCACCTTATGAAGCCCAGGTGACACCAAAGTTCGAATGCGTCCAGCCAAGCAGGCAGCTTCAGCTGCGAGTTCGAACTCCTCACCTCCAAGCACGAGTAGTACGTTTAGGGCTAAAGGTTTAGGGTTTAGGGTAAGATTGGGGTAATATTAGCGGAAAAGAAAATGGAGTCAACCATTCCAAGGGCGGAGTACTAGATACTATAGTGGTTTATCTTAAGTCTTAAGGTTCCCCGGGGCCTTGGTAGAAATTACAGTTCCAGCTGGTTCTTACGAAGATAGAAAACTGAAACTCAAATTCATGTTCAGGGAACTTCCGGGACCATATTGAAAGCCGAGTAAGGCATTCAACTTTATACACTCCCCCAAACTAACATGGAAACCCATATAACCCCTTTTTAAAGGGACTGTAGTCTTTATAGGGCCCCTTTTGGGTTTCCATGTTAGTTCCCAGGAGTGTAGCTCCTTGTGAGGAACCTGATGGAGGCAGAGGGCTTAGGGTTTAGGGTTTAGGGTTTAGGCAGTAATCAAGGCAAATAAGTTCTTTGAAAAACATTGCAGCCAAAAAGGAAAACAGTCTGAGTCTATACTGTTTATCCCAATATAACCCCAATATACTATAGTAGTTTCCATTTTATCTTCGTCTATCCAAACATATAACCCCAATATACTGTAGTAGTTTCCATTTTATCTTCCTCTATCCAAATATAACCCCAATATACTGTAGCACTTTCCATTTTATCCTCCTCTATCCAAATATAGCCCCAATATACTGTAGTAGTTTCCATTTTATCTTCATCTATCCAAACATAACCCCAATATACTGTAGTAGTTTCCATTTTATCTTCCTCTATTCAGATATAGCCCCAATATACTGTAGCACTTTCCATTTTATCCTCCTCTATCCAAATATAGCCCCAATATACTGTAGTAGCTTCCATTTTATCTTCGTCTATCCAAACATATAACCCCAATATACTGTAGCAGTTTCCATTTTATCTTCGTCTATCCAAACATATAACCCCAATATACTGTAGTAGTTTCCATTTTATCTTCCTCTATCCAAACATATAACCCCAATATACTGTAGTAGTTTCCATTTTATCTTCCTCTATCCAAACATAACCCCAATATACTGTAGTAGTTTCTATTTTATCTTCCTCTATCCAAATACAACCCCAATATACTGTAGTAGTTTCCATTTTATCTTCCTCTATCCAAACATAACCCCAATATACTGTAGTAGTTTCCATTTTATCTTCCTCTATCCAAATACAACCCCAATATACTGTAGTAGTTTCCATTTTATCTTCCTCTATCCAAACATAACCCGAATATACTGTAGTAGTTTCCATTTTATCTTCCTCTATCCAAATACAACCCCAATATACTGTAGTAGTTTCCATTATTTCTTCCTCTATCCAAACATAACCCCAATATACTGTAGTAGTTTCCATTTTATCTTCCTCTATCCAAATATAGCCCCAATATACTGTAGTAGTTTCCATTTTAACTTCCATTATCCCAATATAACCTCAATATACTATGTAACCTTGAACTTGAGGCAATGAAGGCTTACAAGCCGGTGAGTTCTCAAAGCACTCGGAGGGGCGGGGCAAATTACTACCTTCCAAGCCCTCGTAGGGTTATATTATATAGGGGTTAAATTAGGGTTATGTTGGGATAATGGAAAAGAAAATGGACACTACCATATTATAATAGGGTTTAGGGAGTTTAGGGCCCCAAATAGAAAGAAAGGCGGTCACTCGGGGCACTTTGCTACACGCAACCGCTGGCCCCTCTACTAGCACAGCACTCAACCTCAGGTACGAAGTGCCTTCAAGGCATTCCAGGCGGACGGTCTTTCCCTTCAGGTGTGAGGGACAGGATGGACCCCCTCGTCCGAACTTCAAGAGTCCTTGGATTGCAAAAGGGGCACACCCTCATCAAAAGTAGCAAGGAAAGGCAGACCTGGCCTCTAACCTCATAGATCTCCCCAGCCATCGTCCGAGGGCGGAGGCTTCTGGCCGACCCTGCTTCTACTTCATGGTTCGAGCCAGTCTGACCAGGTTAGGATCACATATCTTGTCGAGCCCCCGAAGCCCCGGACCACAGCCTTCAATCAACAACAAGCCACCAATGCATGTGAACGGCTGGCTGGCAAAATTTACAAGCATGCGCTCACCAGACCATACTAGCACAGCCTTCACCCGTTGCGCTTCGAGGACCTTGCGGCAATCCCGCAACGTGACGGTTACACTCCATGAACAGCTGTTTAGGCCTCCATCTTTGACTTTTGCAGCCTGCGCACGCTCGCATCCATGAAAAGTACAACTGGGCATCCAGAAAAAGCTACAGCTGATATTCCTGAATCCCTCCCCACACACACACACACACCTATGTATATGTGTGTGTGTAGATATGCATGTTTCATTGTTGCGGGGGGTCAGTGGATTGACGATTAAATGTTGATAGTGTGTTTGGAGAGCTCAAAATCAAAGCAGCACATCTCTGCCTTGTCCTCCGTGTGCTCCAGGCTTTCTGCTGTTTCTTTCATCTCACATGGGCTGGCTCCAGGGTCACAGTGCTGTCTTCAGAAGGTCTCAAAGGGAAGATCAAGGCTCTGTAGCTCTTCTTGTCCAGATCCTTCACTGAAGCATGACAGCAGGCACCGAGAATCAAAATCACTGCTCTGGGATGGCCTGGCGGTGGCGCGGAGTCCTGGAAGCAGGTCAACGTCAGCAACTGGACTTCATATTTGCAAAAAGACCAGGCACCTGCTCCGGACTTTCCACACCACTCTGAAGAACGGCCATTCTTGCATCTGTCGATATTGGCTCGGCGTCTGGGTCCAGCGCCGGCAACTCTCCAGGCTCCCTCTCTTCCGCTGTCCAGTCTATGTCTATGCCGGACTTCTGCGTTGGTGGCTGGCCCGGGCCAGGCGTGTTGTTTATGCCCAAGTCCTCAGGAGCACTGGGGGTGCTCTCGGTAACAGTTAGTTGCTGATCTGCAGAATCCTCATCTCTGTCTGCTTTTGTGGCATTGTTGGGTTGCTCAGGCTGGTCAAGCTGGTCAAGCTGGTCAAGTTCCTTGGGCTTCATGGGCCCGCCTTGCTGCGACCCTGCCATGAGAGTTTGCTCGGTCTCAATTTGGGATTCTTGCCTTTGAGACTTCTCAATTGACCCCTTGTCTGCTTCGGGTGCGGCTTCCATCTCCCCAGCTGCATCTGCACTCGGCAGGGTGCTCTTCTTCTCAGATGTCGAAGCTGCCTCACCAGCTCAGCGGCATTGCTTAAAACGATGGACCAGCGCCACATCTCTGGGGATCTGGCCTCCTTCCTGAGAAGATCAAGTGACAAGCATAACAATGTTCGAAGAACAGGAGCGGGGCTGGGCCTCTTGGCTTTGCGCTTCTCCTTTCGCTGGCCTAAGACACAGATCCCAGAAAGCCCTCAACATCCCATGGCGTTTGACACGACAGGAACCAAACACTTCAACAGGGCCGGAGCTCGCTGTTCTACCGCTTTCGAAGAGGTCACCTGAGAACAGAAGCCGGACGCCTTCCGCCAAGCAGTGCCCTGAACTGTCCCAAGCCTTACTGGTGCTTCAGTGGGAGTTGGCGGGTGAATATAGGGAGTCTTATAGGTATATAAATTGAGATTATATAGGGATAGTTAGGGGCTATGATAAGGGTCCACCCCCCCACTCACCCTCAAGCAGCAGCTAGAAGCTCAGGGATGCGCGTGACTGTTTGCTCAGGCTGACTGCGCTCTGAACAGATGCGACCGCTGTAGTCGGGTCCTGTTCACAGGAAGAGGAAGAGGAAGAGGGGTTGGGAACTGGTTGGGATATATAGGAATAAAAAGGGATACATAGTGCTACATAGGGATATATAGGGATATACAGGGTTGCTTTGCATTGGCTTATGCCAGGCTCTGGAGAAGACACTCTGGAGAGCATCTAGCGGTCGATTTCTCACCTCTGATGCGACGCTTCAGCGAAGCTTGCCGTGCATGCCGAGCTTCACTGTACTGTGGCAGATCGAGCAGCTGCAGTATTGTACACCTGCGAGTGGTTGCAAATTGTGCTCCCTGCCATATGTACAGCAAGCATCGCCAAGTTGAATTGTCAAGAGGCTCTGCTGCATAACGCAGGCTGGCAACCCAACGGCTCTTCTGGAAGGAAATGTAGGAGCATATGCGAGTCCACATGGTCAAGGCCAAATTTCTTGCCATACGTGTGCTGGTCCATTGGCAAGAACCCGAGCGAAATAGCATCACCCATGATCCGGTGCACATTCATCTCACAAGTTGCTTCAAACATGGAGTGCAGGGACAGGTACCGGTACACATCTGGCAATCCCCCTGGGTTGAAAATGTGGGCTGCATGGAGGTGTCCATCGCGACCCATCTGCCCGGCAAGCATGGCTACCACTGCACCGCCCAGGGAGTGGCCAGTCGCAGTGACACGCTGTGCCTGATGGCAATGAAGCTGGTGCATCAATGCGGCCTGGGCTTGTCTTGCTCGACTTCGCAAGGCCTCATGGCACTTCCCAATGGCTATGCATGCATCCCTGGTGAGGTCCTGTGTGTCTGAAAGGCAAGTCCCTCGCTCTGCTATGACCAAGTGGCCACCGTTTGCAGGACAGTACCAGAACCCTTGCCGAGAGTCACCTCCAACGTATGCATACCAGAATTTGCCCTCCCAGGTCTGATTGCCTCTGATCATCCCGTAGGTAAGCAAGCCTCTGCGATCAGACGGGGCTCTGTAAACCTGCTTGGCGAATCGCGCATGCGCTTGCGCGTCCATGCTGGCAACGTCGAAGAATGGTCTCATCAAAGATGGCTGCTCGTCGTCTCGCCGACCGCGCCTCACGGCCGGAAGAAGCCTCCTGCGGACGGTTGCTTCGGCGGATGCCGCAACAGCAGTCAAGCTGAGCTTAACTGCAGCCTCCCGGACTCGATTCTTGGCCTTTTGTTTGAGGGTGTGCTTCAAAACCTTGACTGCGTGACGGACGGTGCGGCCGGCCGTCACTGCGCTGGAGGCAGACGCAGCAGGAGTCAAAATACAGCTGCTGCCAACGTCTACCAACAGCCTGGCCACGGCAATGGTGGCACCTGTCCTGTCACCAGATGATGCAGCATCTAAGACATCCGCTGCCGGGCCCACTATCGGGCAGAAGCCAACAGCTGTCCGCAGAAGGGCCATTGCGATGTCCAAGCCGCTACTGCAAGCTTCTGTAGAGCAAAGAGACACATCGACAAGTTGCAAATTGCAAAGCTCGTTCCCCTTTTCCAGTGCAACTCGCCTCCCACGCAAGACCACTCCCCACCCAAAGGTAGGAGCCCTGCAGTCCCCCATCGTCCCCCTAGCACTAAGGTTTAGGGTTTAGGGTTTAGGGTTTAGGGTTTAGGGTAAGGTTCCAGAAATCCCCCTGTTTTCAGAACCTCCCAAATCTTCTCAGCACTTGGTAACAGTCAGTGGACTGCCAGTAAAAACTAATGAAGTTTGCTTAATTACCGTTCCTAGGATAGGCCATACGAGCTAGACGGGGAATGACCCAAGCCATGACGAAACGAAGGGCCCGTGATGTTCAGAAAGTCGAATCCATCACCTGCGGCTACCTGGCTCCTTGGGACTGCCCCACGGTCCCAAAAGGCATACGCCACAAACACGAGCTTCACAAAAGTGAAAATCTGGACAATGCCTCAAAAGAACCTCACATTTTTTGGACATCGCCCATGCTCTCATGCTCCTCATACAGGAAAGGCACGACTTGGCCGCAAGTCAAACATAATTATACAAGACGAGGACAGCACGAAGAATAATATGACTTCATAAGGACTGAACATGGATTCTTGTCCATAATAATGATGAATATAATCCAAATATACTATATAACAGTTTCCATTTTCTTTTCCATTATCCCATTATAGTCCTAATATCCCAGGGTCTGCGCATGTTGTGAACTAGCTAAGCTAAGGGTACGAATTCTCCAGCATTCTCATGTTGTAAGACCCCAAAACCCCGCGAACAAATGAAAAAAAGCTTTCCAGCCAGGTCTTAAATGGCAGCCAGAGAAGACACCAAGCAAACAACGAGCCTCTGCCGCTGGTTGCTGCACAGAATCCCAGTCCTGGCAACAAACAGCCACAAAAAAAAAAGCCCAGCGAGCAGGTGCCACTGTCGAGGCTGACCAATGCGGCTGCCAGCTCATCTTTGGACACAACGCCATCACCGTCTGCATCCAACTTATCAAAGTCGACCTTTCCCAACCAAAGCCGTGCAAAGCTTCAACGTTGAAACAAGCATCGCCGTGCATTGACGACAGCCTCTGCCAGCTGCGCGTTTTCTGCCTACGGCAGCTTGATAGCGCTACTGCGCGTGATGCAGTGCATGCCCATAGCCTTTGCCTCTCCTACATGTCTGTGCAATCACTGGCCTGCATTTTCTGTAACTCGTCGCGAGAGAGAACCCCGTCGCCATCATCATGCTTCTTGAACAGGTCCTGTCCCCGCGCAACTCAAAAAATTACGGCCGACGTGCACAAGCCAAGATTGTGCCGAACACGCCTCTGCGGTAGCCTCCTGCACAGAATCCCAGTCCTGGCAAAAAGCAACAACAAAAAACACTTGCCCAGCATGCAGGTGCTACTGTCGAGGCTGACCAATGCATCTGCCAGCTCATCTTTGGACACAACGCCATCACCGTCCGCATCCATCTTATCAAAGTCGACCTTTCCCACCAAAGCCGTGCAAAGCTTCAACGTTGAAACAAGCATCGCCGTGCATTGACGACAGCCTCTGCCAGCTGCGCGTTTTCTGCCTACGGCAGCTTGATAGCGCTACTGCTCGTGATGCAGTGCATGCCCATAGCCTTTGCCTCTCCTACATGTCTGTGCAATCACTGGCCTGCATTTTCTGTAACTCGTCGCGAGAGAGAACCCCGTCGCCATCATCATGCTTCTTGAACAGGTCCTGTCCCCGCGCAACTCAAAAAAATACGGCCGACGTGCACTAGCCAAGATTGTGCCGAACACGCCTCTGCGGTAGCCTCCTGCACAGAATCCCAGTCCTGGCAACAAACAACGAAAACAAAACTTGCCCAGCATGCAGGTGCTACTGTCGAGGCTGACCAATGCGGCTGCCAGCTCATCTTTGGACACAACGCCATCACCGTCCGCATCCAGCTTGTCAAAGTCGACCTTTCCCACCAAAGCCGTGCAAAGCTTCAACGTTGAAACAAGCATCGCCGTGCATTGACGACAGCCTCTGCCAGCTGCGCGTTTTCTGCCTACGGCAGCTTGATAGCGCTACGGCACGTGATGCAGTGCATGCCCATAGCCTTTGCCTCTCCTACATGTCTGTGCAATCACTGGCCTGCATTTTCTGTAACTCGTCGCGAGAGAGAACCCCGTCGCCATCATCATGCTTCTTGAACAGGTCCTGTCCCCGCGAAACTCAGAAAATTACGGCCGACGTGCACAAGCCAAGATTGTGCCGAACACGCCTCTGGGGTAGCCTCCTGCACAGAATCCCGGTCCTGGCAAAAAGCAACAACAAAAAACACTTGCCCAGCATGCAGGTGCTACTGTCGAGGCTGACCGATGTGGCGGCCTGCTTGTCTATGGACACAACGCCATCACCATCCGCATCCAGCTTATCAAAGTCGACCTTTCCCAACCAAAGCCGTGCAAAGCTGCAACATTGAAACAAGCATCGCCGTGCATTGACGACAGCCTCTGCCAGCTGCGCGTTTTCTGCCTACGGCAGCTTGATAGCGCTACGGCACGTGATGCAGTGCATGCCCATAGCTTTTGCCTTTCCTACAGGTCTGTGCAATCACTGGCCTGCATTTTCTGTAACTCGTCGCGAGGGAGAACCCCGTCGCCATCATCATGCTTCTTGAGAAGGTCCTGTCCCTGCGCAACTCAACAAATTGAGGTTGACATATGTTGACATGATACAACTCAACCTAAACTGCCTGCAGACCCTCTTCGGTCTACTTTTCTTCGTCCAGGGTCTCCTGGGAAGAATGGTCTTGAGATGTCGGGGTGGCATACGCCAAGCAAGAAACCATGACCCTCTTGCACTTTAGCAGGAGTGGGGAAGGGAACGTGGGTACTACTGCGGGGGATGCAATGGGATAAATGGGCTTCTCAGACAGATCCTCTGCCAGTCAGGCAGGCATGAGGAAACCTTTTTGAAGCGCTTCTTGAGATTCTACGCACCTTGCTAAAACCTAAACTCTACACCCTAAACTCCGGTTCGGGCCAAGCTTGCTCTGCGTTCGTGATGGCCAACTGATCGTTTCTTTGAACAAGGGACTCTAATATAGACCCAAAAAACTACAATCCTCAATATACGGACCCTCAAAAAAGGATAGAGATAAATGTATCTTTGGCTTCCGCAAAGCAGGACTCCCCAAAATACTATAGTCCTTATTATAGGGACCGAAACCCCTAACTGGCACTGGCACCTCACTCAGAAATTCTCCAACGCTCCAACGCAGATGAACCAGACAGAAGCAAAGTTATCGACCTGTGCTTTGTTGCTATTGCCGTGATAACTATGCAGTACAGTCATTTGGCAGACAAAGTCTGCATGAATGGACCGCAGACGAAGCACGCACACAATACCTACACCATGTACCACCCAGCACATGCTAGCCGCAATCCCCCGTGTGCAACCCAACATGTAACGCCAACCATGAGGCGCGCTCGGACACTATATACTACCAATAGCAGTCATGAGGACATCCCCTCGCTAAGTGACCCACACCGTAGTTTGCTGCCCAAACCAGTGTTTCCGAAACGGGAAACATGGCGACACAATACAGGAGCCCAGTCTTAAGGGAAGCCCCCGCTAGACTGATTTCTTGCAATCCCCCACATGCTAGAAGATCAAAGCTCCCCGCCCCATCCTCTTGCAAGCTGTTCCTGGCAGCAGCCTGCACCATATGCGCCTCCTGCGCCTCCCATCTCTTGGATTCCTCTTCCGCCCCAGGCCCAGGCTCTGCTTCCAAGACCTGATCGGCATCTGGCTCAAGCTGCTCACGTTCTGGCACCCGAAGCCAAGGAGGCTCCATGATCTGGCGCTCTGCCATGGATGCTCGTATAACCTCAACCCACTCCTCGGAACCTCGTAGCTGTATCATATGTTGTGCCTCTGCGCTGGCTACAGACTGCCAGCGGTTGGCTCCTTCTTGAGTTGCTTTTGCGGGTGGTTTGGGCGCAAAGCTGGCAAGATGTTTCTCCATCCGGCGAGCCAGAGGGACCTCAGGCAAACCTCCTGACTGCAGGGCTGGCAGCTGCCTCGAAGACCATGCATTGTCAAGTACGCCAGCATACGACTGCCTCCCTGGCTCTTCACGGGCATCTGGGAGAAAGTCAGTCAGCGCCATCCAGCTAAGCGCACAAGCAAGAGAGAAGTACTTACGATGGCATCTGACTTGAAGCTGTAAGGTTGGAGGCTGTCACCCTACTTTTCTGGCGAAAACGAACGCCACCTGTTTCACCCTAGCCTCGTGCTCAGTCGTACTGCGGCCAGCCGTCTGTTTGTTAACTGCATCACACATTCAGCTTCAATGCATGCAGCGGCAGCACGGTCTTTCCGCCGGAAAATTTTCAGGACTCCCCTGATGCAGCATAGCCAGCCTGCACATGCACTGAGATAGTCCGTCATGTGAAGCAAAGGGGACACATCAAACACGATGCGCGATCCTGGTCAAGCTTACGCTTTGCCCGCGCGGCAAGTAGGTCGCCAGCATGTCTCTGTAATTGCCTCAGCTGCATCCACTCAGTTAGGGTTGAGGGTTTCAACACAAGGTTTGGAGTCTACTTACAAATCCTCCTATCCGTGCTTGGGTTGGTTACGCCAGTTCTAAGTGGGGTTATAAACCCAATTGTAAGTAGTTACTTAGCCCCATGAACCTCAGGCCCCGACCTGAGTTCGTCGTCTCCTCCGGTAGCCCAAAAACAGGCAGAAAAGGGCTTCCCATCGTATAATCTCCGTATTGGGGTGGGTCCCAAAACTAGGGGTATCATTTTGGGGGGTCCCCATAGGAAGGATCATAATATGTTGGGGCCCCCCGATTTTGGGAAACTACCATCTGCCCTACTTGTTATCCATGGGCAAAGAGAACCCCCAAATCTCCACATGTTTGGGAAGCCCCATTCTTGGCACTTGCAAGAGCCGGAGTCCTAAAGCTGGAAGCTTCGAGAGGATAGGAGCCAAAGCCTCAAGGCAGCATACTGTTGCAACAGCAGCTCCAGAAGGCACCAAGAACTTTCTAATATCCGTACTTACTGTGGTAACTTGATTTGAATTGCTTCATAGCAACCCAGGCTGCAGAGGGCATGAGGGAAGTTGAGAACAGGGCCGGCTGTGTGGCAGTGCTTGGCGGAGGCAGGCTGCCTGCGGACCAGGATTGCGAAATGGCCTTTCCTATGTTCGCTAGTACCCTGGTGCACATATAAAAACATGTTTCAACTAACTATTACTCATTGTCTTGGGATTCAACGAGAAGGTTTTCTACTATTTTTCTTTACATATATAACATAAGCATCCAGCGACCCCTGTTTCAAGAATTGCTGATGCGGGGGCTTCCATAACCGGGACCCAAAACCCAATACACAATCATCCTTAATATGGGGACCTTAAAAAAGGGACCCCTAACTTCAGAAATCCTAAACTGCTACACATTCCCAGTTTCCATGTCAGGTTCCATGTTCTTGTCCATTTCATTTGATTCTTCATTGTTGGGGTCTTAAACCCTAAACCCTAAACCTTCGTATGAGCCATGGTCTAAACTCCTAGTATCCCCCTTACTAAACCCCTTAAAAGTCCCCTATCTAAGCCCTTATACAACCCCCTTCCCCGTTAATAAGCCCTAGAGTGGTCCCCTGTAGACTTCCCTACATATCGAGCCTCTCAGGAGCTCAGACTACAGCTCACATAGGGTTTCGGGTTTAGGGTTTAGGGTTCATATCCCTACACATCCCAAACCCTGCATCCTAAACCCAAAACCCTAGACCCTCAACTCTTAAATCTAAGCCCTACACCCTATCCCAAGCCTTCGAATCCCCTATATAACCAGTCTGAACTCAAAACCCTAGACCCTCAACTCTAAAGCCTATCCCAAGCCTAAACCCTAAACCCTACATAGCAGTTTCCATTTTATGTTGAATTATCCCAATCTAACCCCTATATAACCCTCCAGCCCTAAAACCTAAACCTTAAACCCTAAACCCTAAGCCCTAAACCCTAAACTAGAAATCCCTGTTAACCCCTATATGGCCAAAATCATGACCTTTTAAGGGAACGCCGGCGCTTCTCCGAACGTGCCTGCAACACGATCTCGCATGCCCACCACCTCGCCTGGGGCCATTAAGCCCTACTTGGAGGGTCAGGGCGACTTCATAAGTCGGTCAATAAACAAGATACCTGGGGTTAGGGGATATTAACCTACTTACTAAGTCCTCCTGCCCCTCCAACTAGGCTCTAGAATAGGGAAAAGGACCCCTAATATCTGGCAACCACTATACAGTACAATACATATTCCATTCCCTGTGTCAGTTTCCAGTTCATGTTCCATGTCATGTTCCATCTGACTTTCCCTGTTGTTGTCCATTTGATTGTCCATGTCATTGTCCACTTCGTATTCCATTTCATCGTCCAGTTCAGGTTCCATCTTATATTCCATTTGACTTTCCGTGTCAAAGTCCATTTCATTGCGTCCATGACGTTCTCCGTTTCACAGCCCATTTCATTTTCCATGTCAGTGGCCATTTCATGTTCAAGTTGATTCTCCATTTGATTAATCTGATGTCCATTCTTAACCCATATATCTGCAGGATGCACTGGCAACATCATCAGGTGCAGGGCGAGATGAACATTGGTGTTTCTGAGGACCCCACCCATGAGTATCAATGCTGGCCCTGGCAAATCCTTGCGATCTCGGACCTCAGCTCACACTTCAAAGGGTATAATAGGGTATATTGGGGATGTATAATATAGGGATGATGGACAAGAAATTTGGAAACTACTATAGTATATTGGGGGCTTGTAGGGATAATGGAAAAGAAAATGCAAAAAACTACTATAGTATATTGTGCGTTCTTTCTGGCTCTTTGAGTAGTTCCCTAGATGCTGTCCCACCACCCTAACGGGGTCTCAGGGATCCACTGCTGATGCAAGAGTCTCCACGGTGCCGGCAACAACCTGACAGTCCAAATTGTCACTCTGAGAGAAGCATCGCTTAGCTCCACAGTTCTTCTTGTCATGAGTACGCCTTTTTGACGACGTGCAAGCCTACATTCTCATCATGATCTTTCTCAAAAGGAGTTCTGGCAGGAGAGTAAATGCGCCGCACCTGCATCTCTGGAAGGGATGCCCTGTCAACAAGGGCCATCGGCGTAGCCTGGATCATGTGCAATGTTGGATGCTGCCTGCGCCCCGTGACAGTCACATGTTGGACCTTTATGCCATAACTACACTTACAATACTTGGGGACTGTCTCAAGGCGGGGGGCCAGTATCCAAAAGCTATGCCTGTGTGCTTGTCAGAAGTAGCCTCTCAGACCGGCACACCAGAAACGCCCGCTGCCATCATCTTCTGCGTAACGCCTCGAGAATTTCAGAATGCTAGATATACCTTCCTCGGCAGAAAACAATGCACCAGCCAACCAACAAAAAACTTCAGAGATCGGCACTTTCGACGACATTCAGCCTGCATGCTTGGTTCTGCCCTCTGATATTTTGCTGCAAGCATGAGCAGTGCCGCCGCGCCCCATATAGAGTGCGAAGGTGGCACTGGGAGCCGCGAATTGCGACCAGTCGAACTTCTCATCTTTTATGGTGGACGGGTTCATTGTGTGAACCTTGGCCGGAGAGTCCAAGAAACGGAGTACAGCTGCACCGATCTTGCTGACAGGGGTACTAACAATATAAACACGGGCAGCAATCCTGACAGGAGAAGCAAGACACAAGCTTCTGTCTACGCTGGGACAGTTGCTCGAAGGGATGTGGCACAATTGCGAAATGTCAGCGGAACTCGGGCATCAGCACCTGATCAAGGCAAAAGACCATGACACAAACCATCTCAGAGAGTGTCATCCCGTTGGACCCTTGCTGCCTCCTACCTAGCTTTCAATCACTGGAGAAAGGGAGCTGGAGTCCCCCAATTGTCATGAGCATCACTAGCATGCTTTGCTCTTCTTCTCCTCCTTCGTCTTGACTCTTTTTCTATAGGCCTCGCAGGCCCCCTGAGCCGGGTTGCAGCTCATGGCCCGGGCTGTCTATGGTATGAGTCGGTGCCCATGAGGCCCGGAATTCTAGATGGTGCGTACCTGAATAATCATCAGACATTTATCGGATCATAGCCTGTGCAAGAAACCTCGACATAATTCTTGAGAAGACTGAATTCGTCACCCTGTAGCCCCCTTCATCAACTGCTGTGATGACCCGGTAACCCCTTGATATCTTGAAGTCCCCTGGCATACCCCCAGATTGATGGGAAACATCCCACTGTGAGCCTGCTGCCAAGCAGGCGGTCACCTCAGTAAAAGATTACCAAAGGGGTTATCCGGAAGAAAAAATGTTTAAGGTTTGGGGCTTAGGGCTCGGGGATTCAGACATTCATACAAATGTGCGTACACCTCCTCCTGCTCCTGGCCCTCCCGCTTAGCCCCACGCTGCAGGAACAACCTCGTAAGGAACCCCTGCGGCGGCCAGCTCCTCTAAGCTCAAACTTCACTAAGGTTTAGGGTTTATAGGGTTTAGACAGCTCAGCTCATGGCAACACTTAGACACATATATATACATATACATACACAAACCCTATTTAGTATAGTAGTCTCCATGTTCTTTTCCATCATCCCTTTACTATTAGAAATACTGCTCTAAAAACTATCGTTGCCATGATATTTACAATTACTAGTGCTTGGAATTAGCAACTTCAGCGGCCACCTAGCAGTAATGATACCAAATAATGATCATGACAGCTGTTAGTGTTACTGCTATATAGTCCCCCTCCAATAGATAGCATATGAATCATATGCAGATCTCATTATGATATACCCAAAGCCATATTCTATCTACTTAAGGGGGACTATAAGTATTTGTACTGTTGTTATGACTATTAGTACTACTAGTCTTGTTACTAGAAGAAGGGGAGGCGGTAGCAGCAGGAGCAATGCACGGAGAATTAGCTTCTCACGGCGCATGTCCTCCATTTCCTCACCGGCCCGGCCGAAAATCATGGGATCACCACCCTTAAGGCGGCACCTGATCTATGCTTCAGGCACTGGCTGACAACATCTTTACAAGGCCCAAAAAACTTACAACATTCTAGCTTGGGTACTGCCCCCCCTCAGTAACAGTTGGATAATAATTATAATATGGTTATGTATAGTCCTTAATAGGACCCCTAATACAGACTGTTACTGGTTGGGGGCAGTACCCAAATTCTAGCTTTGCCCCAGCATCATGTACTTTCCCCCTGCGCTCACTTCACAGTGAGGACGAACGGAAAAATGCAGAACAGCCAAGCGTGTAAGGCTAGCTGTATGGCTTAGGAGGTCCACCTGGTTGTGGCTTCACGTCACATGCTGCTAGGTTACATTCGGGCTTCCAAAAACCTAGGGGTCCATTTTTTGGGAATCCCCATCCCAAGAAAGTCCCTAAACCCTAAACCTGAAACCCGAAACCCTTAAATATCAAATATAATTTGGGGTCCAGGACTGCAAACTCATGTGAGCCATAGGCTCAACCCCTAGTATCCCTCCTAACACGCCTAACAATAGTCCCCTACATAATCCCCTATATAAATGGAGCCCCTTTAAGGAGTTTAGGCTATAGCTCATGTGCTCATGTCCAGCCATCATTGCCCATGCTCTTCTGAGACAGCAGCACCGACTTCCCCTGCTTAGCCAGCACGGCCAGCTGGTTGGAGATGCTGTCCTACTGTATACCCCTAAGTAACCCCCAAGGATAATCTAATAGGAGATTTACGGTTAAGGGTCTAAACTCCTAGACTCCCCCTCAATAACCCCCATAATTCTGCCCTATATGGAGTCCTACCATTGGGATTAGGTCTTAGGTTTGAGGTTTAGGGTTTAGAGTAATACTTTAATAATGGAGAAGGAAATGAAAACTGCTATTTAAGGTTGGGGGTCCCCCTTTAGTAGATAGAATTTGGAGTCTATGGGGATCTTGTTATGATATAGAGCAATTCCACATTCTATCTACTTAAGGGGGAACCAACGACTTTTGTCTTATTGCTGATGTTGCCACTTTCATGGTACTTTTATGGTTATCGTTATTATTAGACTACCTTGACTAGTCACATCTTCAAGATGAAGTCTTCATTTGCCAGTCCTGGTGCACCTTCATCTCAGCTGTAGGCGTGGTGGTGTCCTGGAGAACTTGGAGCTGCATGCAAGACATGGAGCGGCCGGCGCGCCTTCCCTACATATCGGACTTCTGCCGTTGGCTTTGCAAGCCCTATGACCTGGCTGCAGAACGATTGTGCTGCAAATGCGGGCGCAAGCACGTGTAAAGAACACAAGAGCAAGAATAGCAAAATCAGCGCTCATGTTTTGTAAGACTTGTTTGCAGTCTCGGGTGGACTATACGTCCAATCCATCAAGTCAACGGCTCTTTGCATGCGTGCAACGACGCATGTGCGCAAGTAAATAATCAGCTGGCGGAGACACGCAAAAGTGGCATGGCCAGCCCTTTCACAAACTACGCGGCTAAGCGGCTAAGCACTCTGAACATCCTTGTTGACTGCATTGCAGTCTGGACTTGGGACGTCTGCACAGGAGAGCGCGAAGTCGGTGGACGCGAAGTCAGTGGAAGTTTCCGACGCCCCATCAGCCCCTGAGTGGCAAAACAAAGTGGGACCAGCTGCTGGAAAGACCATCAACGATACTGTCGCTGCTTTGTTGCTATCATGCAATCAATACTGCATCTTTGATGAACGCTCTAAAGACTCCACAGCTACATTTGCGTCATTCATACTACAGCGTCTGCGCCTGAATCGTCCCCGGCTTCTTTGCAGCCCTCCTTCTGGTTCCTAGGATCGACAAGGAGGGAAGCGGAACACAAAGGTCTTCATTCAGACAGGCCACGCAAAGGAACGGCTGGAGCTGTCCTGGCAGACTCCGAGAAGAGAGGGTGCAAGGGCTCAAGACTGAAGACTCTCTCCATGAAAATGAAAGGAGATGCTCCTCGCAGTACATCGAGGATTCCCTCTGCTGGTAGCCCAGAACGGGCGATAGAATGATGGAGCCCATGACGATGCAGAACATCACTGCCAGCTCACCAGCATCGGACAACTGTCAGGGACATTGTGACATTATCTGTCCCGCGGTCCATTGCATGAAGAAAAACATGAACATCTGTTCTGTCTGACTCCCATGATATCCCATGATCTGGGCTGAAACCCTAAACCCTAAAAACTTTACCCTGAAACCTGAACCCTAAATCCTAAATCATCCTAAACCCTAAACCATCCTAAACCCTAAACCATAAACCCTAAGCCTGGACGTCATCCCTCAAGAGCAGCAGGATACCGAAGAAGATCCTCAGACTGCTTTTTTTTGGATGGAAACCAAGGCATCAGCCTGAAAGGGGGTTTCCCAAATTAAGGGTGCCTTCAAAGGGGGATATATAGGGATATATAAGCATATGTAGGGATTTATACGGTTTGGGGTTTCCCAAAATTGAGGGTACCTCTTTGGGGTCCCCAGAATAAGGACCAGAGTATTTTTGGGCCTTATATTGGGGTCCCCCCTGTTTTGGGAAACTACCCAACTAAGGTGGACCAGGAAGCACTAGGAAACTGATCCCGATCTTCAGCAGGTAAAACCGTCTCAGCAACTCCCGTACCACGACGAAGAGCTCAGGCAGGGCAAAGGCTGCCTTGGGTTCCGGACACCATTGAGGGTTTGGGGTTTAGGGTTTAGGGTTTGGGTTTAGGGTTTAGGGTTTGGGTTTAGGGTTCAGGGTTCAGGGTTCAGGGTTTAGGGTTTAGGGACCATGACTTAAGGTCCTACCCTTAAAGGATTTCCCCCATATGGCCCTAGTATAACCCTTATATGAGCCAATGTAGTCCTCTTGGGTGTCTTCAAAGGATTCATCAACCCAGGGGTACCATGACAGCCATGACATCTCACAAACAGCCTGTAGCGATCAATGACCTGCACGACACCTAGACCTATGCTTGCGCTAGGATGTGTGGCTTCTTGCTCTCCTGCTGGTTGCATTGAACATGAAGTGCTGCGTTTCCGGTCGGGTCGGGCATCATGATAGAAGTGTCTATGATAATGCCGGTTTGGATTGTACCTGATGCTCAGCGGTGGAAAGGGGAGCCAAGCAGCTAGCACGGATGAAGACCAAGCGATGAAGTGGCTGTCAATCTCCTCTATCTTGGTCAGAGTAACGTCAACCTGGCAAAGGCTATATGGGGTTCTGAGGCATGTATAGGGGATAATGGAGAACAAAATGGAAACTACTATTGAGGGTTTAGGCTTTCTAAGCTGACTCTGATATCCAGAGTAAAGTTGCTCACTTCCTAACACTTCACGACAGACCTAGCAGACAGAACAATTTTGAAGATGCATGCAAGATCACATATGGCACTACACCGGAGGGCCGGACCTCCATGGCAAACATCACCAGCAACAGGCAGCAGGTAACTGGACCAATCATAGTTACCTGTGGTCATGCTGTGAGCACGTTACCCCAAAGCTGTCTTTCTTCCATGCTGAACACTTCTATACACTTCTGCATCTGCGCGGCACAAAGGATACCGTTCCTTGTCTGCAACTGTGCACAAAGTCAGTCACTGGTGTTTGCTCGCAGCAACAGTTCCTTGGCATAATCGTACCAGGTGGCTTGTAGACGAAAACGCTGCCGTCCAGCTCGTAATGTGGTAGCAGCCGATCTCCCATAGCCATTCGAAAGGTCTTGTACGCTTCTGAGTGGGCAGGATCAAAGCCTGGCAGAGGGCGGAAGAATTCAGATTCAAAACTCGAAGTCCAATTCCCCCATGCTGCATCATGCTGCATCATGCTGCCAGGTCGCTTTCGTGGTCATCGTCGCCTTGGCTTGCGGTTTGGGAATCTGTGCCACAGCACGTTAAGACGCCCCGGGATTGCAAGCCAGGAGACGCATAGTCTGAAGTCCAACTAGAATCAGCCAGGCACCCAGGAGGTATGGCAACACCTTTAAGTCTTGAATCCAGGCCTGAGCTGCTCTCAACCAGGACCATGCCTCAACACTTTACCAGGCTCCACTGGGCTGCTGGCGGCGATGCCCATGAACATGAACCTGACAAGCTAGACGCACTGCATCAAAAATCTTGACTTGGAAACTCAAGTTGTATAAAACGCAGGCAATGGCAAGACTCGCGAGCTGCTATACCCCTCACATTGCGCCGAGGCACATCTGGAAAAGCATCTGGAAGATGGACACCAGGAAAAGGGCATAGCGGGCCATCTTTGCAGGGACCTTGAAAGACACCTTGGACAAGGGTCGAGGTCAGGAGGGAATATGGGAATATTGGGATGATATAAGGTATATAATATAGGTTATATAAGGATAATGGAAAACAAAATGGAAACTACTATAGTATTTTGGGGTTATATAGGGACGGTTTAGACTCAGCTTGGAGACCAGGATCATGTGGTACAAGAAGATGTTCTCCTGAAGGGCTGGCACTTTGGCGCAATACCACGTGTGCAACACCCTCATCCTAACTGCAACCGGGTGGCCATTGAGAGAACCAGCTCCATCACATAACCATCTAGCCACTTCTCCCCAGCTCTAGCGCCGGAAGAGGCAAAGGTCCAAGCGAAGAATCCCATGCCCGCCTCTGCAGAGAACTGTGATCAATAAAAAGCGGCTTTGGATGGCTTCCTTCTCAAGCAAAGCAAAGCGCCCGACTACAATCCACGTCCCCAGAGCCAGCACCTGAGAGCCAAAGACAAGTTTCTGCAGGGAACCTTAAAACCTCTAAGGCAAGGACCCACTGCACTGCGTCCACAGCGGAATGACAAATGTGTCCCCACAGATCGGGAGGTGGAGGATGCTTGATACATAGTAAAGGGCAAAGGGTTGCTGCAGAACCAGGCGCGTGGGACAAAGAAGACTCCAGCTCCAGCTTGTTCATGAACAGACCTTGGCGGTGCACAGAGTACCTGAAGACTTCTCCTGTACATCAGCTATCGTCTAAACTCCTAGCAACCCCCCTTAAAAACCACTGTACTATTCCCCTATAGAATCCGCTTTTGCCTATATAACCAGCTTAAGGACTTTAAACTATGGCTCACATCATGCTACACTATGCTACACTCCTGACATCTGTGCCTAAAGTGCCTTGAAGACCTTGATAGACATGGAGAGCCTGAAAGGTGCTGGTTTGGAGATAGCCCGTCCCTGGGTACCTTATATGAGCTATAGTCTGAACTCCTTAATGGGGGGTATATAGGGGATTATATAAGGGACTACTATGGGGATTATTAAGGGGGATACTAGGAGTTTAGACAATGGCTTCTATGAGCTATAGTCTGAAAGCCACATATGACCCGTGATACCCACCCTGTGTACCAACCCTATATACCCCTATAAACGCCCCATATAACTCTACCAACCCTATGCTACCAACCCTATATACCCCTATTAAAAGCCCCTAAACGATTTAAGTTCCTGAGCAGCAACCCTACCTGCGCAAGGCTCAGGCTTAGCCGCAGCAGCAGCAGCCAAACCATGCCGAAGGCTACCTGGGTTGCTGCTTTACGTTTTAGGGTTTAGTGTTTGGGTTTAGGAGCTGAAAGTAAGTGGCCATATGCGGGTTCCCTTCAAAGGGGTTCTAGAGTCGATGTCAGGTGATGTAGACTTTAGGATGAAGTTGCCATAACGAGGGTGTACAGCATATGATACGGCTTCCTGAATATGGCAACTTGATCCATATGCGGAAACGGCAACCCAGCCACCCACTGCCCGGCGACGGTCGAGGAGAAGAACGCCTTTCCAAACGAAGCTCCAGATGGACAACCCAGGTGTTCTGAATATGGACTGTGTATTCCGTATTTCCGTTAGAATGAATGCCTTCGTGCACCAAGACAATGACGAAGTATGCAGGCTGCGCAAGTGTTTAGGCCCGCCTCGATGTCCATGTGTGGGCGCACACGTTTCACCGAGGTCTTGCGACTTCGCCCCACCACTTTCCAGAGCGGGGAGTGCTTCAAGTGTCTCTCCCCGTGGAGCCTATGAACGGGATCGCCATGAAGGGTTGCCACAGGCCAAAACGCGTGAGTGGAGCCGACGTCATCGCTCAGGTCTCCAATGGGAGCGAGCGATGGCCGCGGGACCTGATCGTCAGGAAGCATGCGTCATGTGAAGCTCTGCTTGCATCGTGCCAGCAGCTGTCGAGCCTCTATGGAGCCAGGAGAAGCTTTGTCAAGGAAAGCTGAGGATCCTCCTCTTGGCGCAATTGCCTGCAGGGGCGGCAAAAGCCAGCTGCAGCAGAATCACCCCTGTAATCCCTATATAACCCTCATGATCCCTATAGTCTCCATTTTCTTTTCCGTTATCCCCATAATATAACCCCAATATATACATCCACAGGGACTGCCGGCCTGTGCAGGTGCTGCCAGGTACACTACAGCAAAGGTAAGCACGGTCGGCACGCTCATCTGCCTCTGTGTCGTCAAGATGGCAAGAGAATAGCAATTAGGCAAACAAACGAGGCCCTGCAGGCATTGATGTGTTGAGTCTCTTTTTTAAGCCTCTCTTTAAAAACCTCTCTTTATCCTGAAAAGTCTCCGCACATGGCCGAGCGACATTCAACGGTAATGGATGTCCTAATCTCCGCGTCCTCAGTGTCACAAGCAATGTGCGATGGCACTGAAGCTTCCTTTATTCTACCAAGGGGCTGTCAGCTTGTGCAGCCAGCGGCCACGAAGCAGCAAATGCTGTCTATAGTTCTAGTATCGAATGAAGCAGTGAGGAAGTGATTGAATGGACTGGAGCCCAAGGACGAGCAAACATGCAAATTCAATCCCTAGCAACAGTGACTGCAGATGGCTCGACTCAAGCTGCCTCCTGAGCGAGCCGGTCATACAGCACCACGTCACAAGACTGCAACACCTGCTGAAGCAACAGAGAAAAATCTACTGCTTCTGGATCCCCAGTATAACCCCTACATAACCCCACTATAACCATAATCCCTATAACATACGATAATATAGCATAATATACCGAAACACTCCATGATTTACCCATATATTAATTTTATGGGTATCCTATATTACCCTACATTACCCTACATTACCCTATATTACCCTATATTACCCTATACTACCCTACATTACCCTATATTACCCTATGTTATCCTAATCTTACCCTCACAAGATGCTTGACGACCTCCAATGCTCGGAGTGTCAGCAGCTTCGCTGAGCCAGGGCCGGCTCCCACAAGGTAGACCTGCCCCAGGGTTTAGGGTTTAGGGTTTAGGGTTTAGGGTTTAGGGTTTGGTCGTTATTACTTGTGTATACTACAG